CTGGAGAGAAGAGATGGGAGACATTAAAAACAACAACAACAACAACAACAACAACAACAACAAAAACACCAGGGCAATTTAAAAAGCAATTTATTCCTCCGTCTTATTTAGGAATTGGCCCAGGACCACGTCTGGGATGGTTTGGGTGCAGCTCTACGGGGAGGCTGGACTGTGACCCAGACGACCTTAGGGTGGGGAGTCTGGGCTTCTGGGCTGCCTTTTTTCATCAGTAGTTCACTTTGTACCCCACTGAGCCCTGGAGAAGCGGGGCCCTCTAGGGAGGAGCCAGCCCTTTACTGTCAGACTGGCCAACTCCCTGGGGCAAGCAGTGGAATGGTCCCCGGTAGCACCGGGCACCCAGTCCACAACAGGCATGCTGATACCTGTGCCTGGGTGGGGAGTGACCACTAGAGGCAGGCTGGACCCAGACACCCCTCAGCCTCCCTGCAGACGCTTTGGACAGGCCTTCCAGCAAAGCAGGACTGAGCTAAACCCCAAGGGGTCAGGGTGGCCCTGAAATCCCCCAACCAGTGGTGGTGAGAGGGCCCTGGGGTTCTGGCCCTGCTGGTGGGGATGCTCCCTGGACCATCTGGTTAACATCTGGGTGTGTGGCAGGTACTGTGCTAAGTCCTACAGACTAAAGGTCTGATCTCCTTCTCTATCCCTTGTTGGCAAGCCAAATTTGTAGCTGCTTCCTCATATTCCCCGGTCCTCTGGCAGTGAGGTGGGGCCACGTCCCTAGTTCTGGGCAGTTCCGGGCAGCTCAGGATGAAGCACAGAAGAGCTGGTGCTTGCCCCCCCTAGCCACCCCCTCCTTCCTGCAGTGACCAATGTGACTGCAGAGCATGTACCTGAGTGACTACAGAGTGGGGTCTCCCTGCCCACCTGTGCTGGATGAGTAGTAATAAATCTCTGAGCGAGAAATAAACCTCTGTTTCAGGGTTAATTTGTGACTGCAATAGAAACGGATACATTTTCACACAGATGACACTTAGAAAGTGACACTTAGAAAGGGTCAATGGCTCACCGAAGGTCACAGAGGTAGTGAATTGCAAGGCTAGATTGAACACAGGGACCGGCTGATTCCAGAGCTTGGGCCACAAGCTGCCTCCCCTCTAGGTTGCCTCCAAAATCGAGCCCCCAATTCCTTGGTTTGGCATTCAGGGCTCAAAGCCTGTGTCCCAGCCCAGCCTCGCACCAGCCCGCCATGCAAACCCTGCATCGTTCACACAGTACGGCCTGCTCCCTCCTCCTACTCGAAGGTTCCTCTCTCTGGGCCTCTCTGTGGGCCACTGCCCAACCCGCCAGCCCTCCTGGCTGCTTTTCACCATCTGATTTGTGTCCCAAGACTCAGCCCTGGTCCCCCCTTTCACCATAGAGCTTTGGCTGGTCCTCTGGCCCCTTCTTCCCCCATCCTCGGCCAAGCTCTGGAGCCATCTCTGCCCGTTGTCACTGGCCCACACGCGGGGACCAGCGTCTCTGCTCTCTTGGACATTCGTCATAGCCTGAAACCAGACAGGGTACTTTCTCCCGAGGCTCTCACTCCCACAGCAGTGTCTAAAGGGGGTGCTGCGCTCCAGGGGGATAAAAGGTGACCCACTGGGGCATGAGAAAATGTTGGAGCTCGTTTTTATACCTGTTTATCTCCACCTTTTAAACTTTCTACATTTTTGCATATGTTTTAAAAAGTACCTACTACCCTCGTGTAAACACACTTGGTTCCATGGGCTACACTCCCCCAAGGGACCAAATATAGCTCCTTGTAAACAGTAGGTGCTCAGTACCTACTTTAGTTATCTCAGATAGGGATGGGATGACTTAGCAGGAGGTGGGGGCAAGTGGCTGACGCACGGGCGCATGCGCACCCACACACAGTGGGACTGACCTGCCCTCGCGGACCTGCGTCCTTGG